GAGGTACCACGCGCGAGTATTCCGTGAGTTGACAGAAATGTCTTCATGCCATATACACCAGGGGTTTGGGCAAAATGTATTTGGACCCGCTGCCGACAGACCGCTCCCTGCTGCAGTTCCTAGACACCAGCAGGATATGTATCCTTCCTGCGCTTGCAGGAGCCGCTGCGTGTTCTTCCTAGTGTCATCGGCCACCTCAAGGCGATCTCTCCCTTGCTTCCGTAGTCCCCCGTTTTCGGCTCACGTTCTGGATAACGCCCCTTTCGTGTTACTGCAGTACGAAAGAGATTTCTGAAAGCTGTCTGATATTGTTTCCACGATGCTTTAGCCTCATACAAGGAATCCCGACAAGTGATCATGTTTGCCCCTTTGATTTGGGCCCAAAATGTAGGATCCTTTTTGTTTCCAAAACTGATACGTACATCGATCGCACCCCTGACAAAATACGAGTACAGTGTGAGGCATAATGCACATCTATGATGTCGCGTAGTTTACATAAAGCAGGAATGGGCAATTGTCCTTAAGCGGGGCAGAGTGGGGAGATGTGGATTCGAGAACCCAGAGAACCATCCATGTGGTCTGTTTGAGCAACGGAATGATAGCCCAGTGATCCTTCCAACGGGTCCAACAGAATAGGTTGGATCGTTTTGCACACACTTGAGGACCGAAATAGGTACAGCCTCCCATCTACCTAAGACGATGGAAGTATTCTAGCATGTAGACCTGTTGCTAAGGGATCTAACTGTAAATAACGGTCGCTGCTAGGCAACAGACACCTAACATGCACCAGTGGAATAAGAAAAACTGTGTTTTCTGTGCGGTGCTCTGTATGGAATCCGCGTGAGATAATTGGAAACTAACAAGAAAATTACATGTCTATACATTAGATAAAAGTTAAAGTTATCCCTCTAACATGCCATGGGGGCCCAAAGGGTTATGAGACGTCGAAGCTCCCACATCTTCTAGACAATCGGCTCACAGATGGCGGTGAGGTGGTCAGCTTTACGCTCCGGCCGCCCTTTGCCCCCAGGAAGATTCCTGGTACTCATTTCTGTCAGAGACTGAGTCGACCCCAGGACCATAGTGCAGCTGGAAGGATTATGTCAATCGAAATATTCAGCAACCTTATCGGGAATCGAACCCGTGATCTTCTGGCTTGTAGCACAGTTCCTTTGCAAACTACGCTACTGCGTGATATTGTGACATGTATACCCATTCCTAGGGAACGACTCGGCAATTACATTTCCGCGGGAGACAACGCGCCCAACAATATTACATACAATGCTAGTCAACGGACCAGCAAACATAATATAGGCTGTGTTTTCTGTGTGGGCCATTCCGAGTGGTTATAAAAGAACACAGAAGACGAAGCCACTAGAAACATGGCATAATCTGCTGAACTGAGCCTGGACTGACAGAGGCCCTGTATATATTTATATATTTTATATGACTTTATTAACATGTTTAACATATAAAATGTAAATATCCTTTACATTATGACAAATGACTTACTACTGCAGACAGTGACTCTGACAAAATACAGACCAGTCTTCTCGTCAGAGAGGGTGCCCCACAGTAACAAGACCGAAACTATCAAACACTAATAAATATCTGGTCATGAGCCCCATATTGGGCTCGACACCAAGACTGACTGACTGACTGACTCACCGTCAGTCGCAATGTGACTTTGACTTTGACTTGACGCGACCAAGCGAGTAGTCGAGAGTGATGAGTCGAGTTTCGAGACGCCAGCCTGCCAGGATATGAGCTTGGTAGCAGAGGAACTGAGTTCAGTTGGCAGCTGCAGAACAATGGCAAGAAAGGAATTAGGCGGTGCAAAGAAGACTTCAGGTGTGATTTGAAGGTACAGTGAGACTGTTATGAAATCCGTTGTCAGGATACGACTAGTGAAGATTGAGAATTCTAATGCGCGTGTAACAGTGGACTGACAATGTGCAGAATAGCGATAGCGCTGTATTGCGTGTAGTCCCGAGTTTTGAATGTGTGAGATCTAATAAATCGAATCATCCAATCCAAACCCCGTCTAATAGTCACCCCTACTGATGACAATGTATTAGATAAGTGGCAGAACACGAAAACATACAGTTTGTGTATTGCGTCATACCTGACGCAGACTTAAAGGTTTAGCTCTCTCTCTCTCTTCGGGGCTCCTAACTGATGGCGGTCTCGCGAACAAACAGGCCGACGTATACGCATGCGCATCCCGTAGTCCCATGTCATGTGTCACTCACCAGTCAAGACTAAACAGTCTCTTGTGTTCCGGCTTTGCTTTGCCGACAGAAGCGATGCATAAAGACGGCGTGTTCTAAACCAATTTAAATAAAAATAAAAAGTTGGACTGCAAAGTAACAAATAAAACAAGATTCGCGTATGGGCGTCTCCTTTCTTCCTCTACAAGATCGAAAAAGTTTTATGTTGACTGACAGACGGTCCGACGACGAAGAGCCGCATTTTATCGGAACCGGCTCTGCCCGTCCGATTTACATTGCATATTTCAGTGTAGTAATGTTTTGCAGCCTTCCATGCCAGTTCTTCAGAAGTACTGCATTTTTACTATAGAAAGACGACATCAAATAAAATTTGAATTTATACCGGGATTTGTATACTGGTTGCGGGTTACAAATCCTGTTTGTTAATGTCGCCGGTGATCTCCAGCTATCAGATACATCACGCTGCGCCCACCTTTGTCTAGAAGCGAACTTGTCATCTGTTTCCTCTTTTTCTCCCAGCTAACAGTTTGTACACTTCATAAGAAATTACATGATGCATAGGCGAAGGATCTCTACACATTTCTTGTCATTTTGCAGCCCTGTTTCCAGTTGTTAGTTTAAATGCAATTATTATAATTGTTACGATGCAATTAAACATCCTACGTATTTATGTAGAACAGATTTTGCCGTTCGGATTCTGAGGCTAGGATATGAGTGACTCTTCGTACGTACGTGAGTGTTGCCGAGCATTCGATAATGGGCACCCGTAGTTTACCGAAGTTTCTAAACGTCGGTAGTGATGAAACATGGCTTCCTTAAAGCTAACTTAATAGTTCTACATATAAAACAAACTCCCTGATTTCAGTCTGCAAGCGAACTATACCGACCGAGTGACTGCCGCTTGTCGGCGAAGTTAGTGCCAACTTTAGCGTATAGATGGTGTCGCGTGGTCAGCGCAACGAATCCCCACGGCCGTTAATACGGGTTTTCTAGACCGTAGCCGCCATTTCCTTGAAATAGCTCCTCAATTATCATCATGAGGCTGAATGGACCACGTTCCAGACCCACTAATTCTCAGAAAATCTGGTAGCGCCGGGAATCGAACCCGGACCTCTGGATCTGTAGCCAGGAAGTCTGACCACTGGACTACAGAGGCGGTGCAAATTATACAAATAGCATTTAATTAGTATACGTGTATAAATTTACATAGGACATCATTCTTCTTTAAGTTTATCTGGATAAATATCTAGAAATGTGAGCTTGTGGTAATAAACACTTGATCATGAATGTTACCCTGCCTTAAACAATTCTCTCTGCCGAAACTGTGCATTAAGTGTGTACTTTCTCAATTGTATTCTGCTGTTCATGCTACCCTGTCGCCCTCAACGCCACACTTGGAGACAAAGTAACGATATTTTGTGTTGCAGGTGCCGATATGCGATACTGGTCCACCTGAAGAAGCGTCTGTAAGTACGAATCACCTTAAATTTACGTCTTCTTTAAGTCTTACTTGTAAGAAATAGATTAGCATAAATCCTTTACCTTCCTGATATTCATCAGTTTCGTTTTGCGCATATTCTATCTCGTACGGGGCCATAAGGCAGGAGCTTGGGATCTTATTTAGACCATCAATAAATTCCAGTTGCATTGGAAGTTGTCATGACGGTGATTGTGTACGGCCTTCCGTGTTTTGAAGTCTTTCCCAATGCTTCTTCTAATTTCTTCCTCCAACTACTTTTCAACCCTGAGGATAGATGCTATATACTCTTCCGAACTACACGGTGTCGCAACATAGAATATCGTACTCTTATTAATATCATGTTTTTGGAATAATGCAGGCTTTACCCTCGAAATGGCGGGGCTATCTTCATGCTTTACTTCGCGGGAGTCAGTAAACGGGACACAAATGGAAGCAAAACAGCTGTAATGGACGTAATAGGTTTTCTATATGTACCACTAGGTAGCAGCACACTCCAGCTTCATGCCAGTCTAGGTAGCAGACGCGCAGGTGCATGTTCAGAGGCTGGTTTCAGTAGTCACAATGGCACCGTGCTGGAGATGTCCACTACCGAAGAGCAGCATTCTGTTGTGCGCTTTTCTTGTTGACAAAAAGAATTACTGCAGAGGATAATCAGAAAGTAATCTTTCCTGTTTCCGGCGGGAACACTGGGGTAGTTGTTTCGAATCCCACTTGAGGCATGGATATCTGTGCCCGTTTATTCTGGGTCCTGTATAGGTAGCGGCCTTGGAACGGGCTGATCCCCAGTCCAAGTTGTCTTACCGGTTATGTATAAGATTACAAAACTGAAAAAGCGGCCAGGGTCCCAAAATTGCTGTAGAGCCATTGATAACAAATGTCTGAATGGTAGTAGCTTTTCCACAGATGCTTAAGGTGCTTATACCATTCGCCCTTATGCACCAGCTAGACCGCGGTACCATTAAATGCGCAGGCCCAGGATCGTGAAAGATTTAAAAGGTGGAAGTTATGAACGGTGAATAGTGCAAATGTATCGTTATGAGGCTATAGCTCTGCGTGTGTTGCGCTGCGCTACACTCAATTGTTCTCCACGTCGCCTGCTGACGTTTCAGAGGAATCGGAAAATTTATGGCACCCTACAAGTTGTCACATTCCGAAAAGTAGCACAGTCATCCCGTGATGGTCTCAGATCTGAGACCAATTGTCCATCTTCATAAGCTGTTCACTACATAAACAGAGTTAGAATGGGCTTCGTAATGTAATGATGTTGGAATTATACTCGTACATCAGAAAACGATAAAATATTTTTGTGAATGGCATCGCTGAAGCTCAGTTTCAGCTCTATAAATTTAATGACACTGTTCGACTACTTATATTGTTCATCACATAATGCCGAGTTGTGTAGAAGCTCTCGGAAGCAAGACATACAGCTGTCCCTTATACGTGTACGTTATGTACGTGGTGCAACGAGTTATAGGAACACTTTACATAGGCGACATGTTTATGGGTTTCATACTCTGAAACGTATTCTGACATGACGCCCAAAAACCGAAATAGTGAAGTCAGAGTAGACGTTCATTGCTGGGCAACGGCTCCGGAAACACGTTCCCACTACAACGTACAACAATGGCAGTGTTGTTGGAAACGCTGTTTTCTGTTCGGTTCGTGGAAAGTGGTTATAAAAGGAGTTGAAGTTTGGAAGTCCAGTCATAAAGAATTGTGCTGATTGCAGTTGAGATCTGCAAAGGGGGGGGGCTGAGAAGAAATGGCGATCCAATTCAATTGAGGGAATAGCTGGCGACAGTTCTGAATGACAGTCGTCGTAGGAAAGACTTGAGCCGTGAAACTGAAGAATCTTCAATGTTAAAATCCGTTGCCAGAGAACGGCTGGTGAAGACAGATCAGGCTGGCAAAAGGTTTAGCTGGTTTTGTGGTGATTTGTGAATTGTGGCGTTTAGCGATGGCGCTGTAATTACTTGTATTTCCGAGTCGTGAATGTGTAAAAGCAATGAATCCAATCCTCCAAACAAAACCCCGTCTATAGTCACGCATATAAATAGCAATATGAATACGCGTTTTGAAGTTTTCAAGAGGCCGATTATTAAGATTGTAGTCCTAAGTTTCGTAACGCCGGGTAGTTTTTGTGGGCCGATACTGAAGCTTCGGCGGAACATTCTGCAACCATCTTCGGAAAACATGTTCTTACGAAACGTTGGTACCAATCTTCGAAGCTACACGGTGTCACAAACCAGAAGACTGCGATCTTAATTTTATAATACAAAATTTTGTTGAAATCCATTGAGTTGTTCTCGAGTTGTTTCGGATGTGCTGAGAGAAATGGTGGAGCAGACAGTTTGTAGAGCTTATGTTGGTGTTTTCTTTTTGCTTTGTCCGTCTTCCGATATTCTAAGTAATGCGCTGTATAGTGCTGCTTTGGGATAGCGGTCTGTGGCTAGAAAAGCGCCCCAGTAATCAGGGAAAAAAGCGAAATTGACTTAAGGTTTCAGTTGCAAACAATTAAATTTGCATTTAAATAGCGAAGCCTTGACAAGTGTCACCGTGCCCCCTACCTCTCATTTCCATAAATTCAGCTTCCCTGGATATTTCCCACAGTTCCGTCGCAGTGCTGATTCCTTCGGCCGCTGTCCCACGAAATATGGGCCGGCGCATGATTTAGATCGTCCTCACGATATTTCCGAGTGAGCGCGTTGCTGCGGTATCGAAGCGCAGTGAACAATATCTTGGCTGGGAACCTGTTTTGCATCCCATTAATCAGACCCGTCGCCATACACACGGAACTTCTTTTCATATCTCCCATCTTTCACAGCGTCGTTCCAATCTACAGGTCCGGACAAAATTTCTGAAACAAGCAATAATCGACGTGTAAACGGCACCGTACTACGAGCGGAGAGTCTGTAAATAGGTCACAATTGGATGTAAAACGTAAGACATAACCTCGAAAACAAAACATTTATTTCTCGACATACTATTTCCTCCACCGAAACTGACACATTTGTCCCACCGCTTTACCAGTGCGCCGAAACCCGCAGCATAGAAGTCTTGACTGTTCCCTCAGCCACTTCCGCACCTCCGTCTCAACCTCTTGGTCATTAGCGAAAGGTTTGCAGCCCATTTGTGAACCCGCTTTACGTAACAAACACTTCCCACCGTAAACAGGAAAAATTTCTTTATGAATATCCTTTGGACCAAGTCCTTTTGCCCACAAAAGAAAACGCACAACAGAACGCTGCTCCTCGGTATTACACTCTTCAAGCACGGTCGTCATTTTGACTACTGAAACCAGCATCTGAACATGGTCATGTGCGTCTGCTACCTAGAGTGTCATGAAGTTGGACTGTGCTGCTACCTAGTGATACATATAGAAAACCTATTGCATCCGTTACAGCTGTTTTACTTCCATATGTGACCTATTTACTGACTCCCCCATATGGCTTATTTAACGAAGCTGTCTGTAGCTCGGTCGGTACATCGCGGAACAGTACAGCGATTGATGAAGCGTGGATTGGAAATGATACAGAGGAAAGCACTCATGGCCAAATTTGTCGCAGTATCCTAGAATTTTCTTGGAGGGACGAATTGAGAACCACAAAAGCCCTGTGTCAGTAATGCAGGCCTCCGGGCCGAGATACGAATCCTGGGGCTGCAGGATAACACTCAGGTGTGACCCATCCCACCGATACGTTCAGTAACAAGCGTCTGGGAAAGAGATGTTTCCTCAGGAACTTCTACTACGTGATAACAAGGAGAAGCTTTGGTTAATCGTCCGGGTTAAGGTACTTACCTATATATATATATATATATATATATATTGTCACGGGTATTAGTGACTGTAGACGCGGTTTGGATTAGATGACTCGATATTATCTGGTAGCTACAGCGCTATCGCTAATTCACACAATTTGCTGTTCCCCATTACACACGCAATAGGATTCTCAGTCTTCACTAGTCGCCTCCTGGTAACGGAATTAAAGGAGATTTTCTGCGACTAAATCTTGTGATCACACTAAGTTTTCACAGACCGACTTCTAATTCTTCAACTACTAACTTTCCGTGGCTATGTTTAACCGACAACTGACTCAGTTCTCATTCTAGTATTCTGTGTTGTACTCCGTTGACTCTTATGAATTCCAAATCACTAATTCCCCCCGCTACAAGCAGACTATCGTTATATAGACTCGGTTAGGACCCCATAGAAAACACGCCACTTGTCAGAATGCGTCTTGCAGGCAACATAGATAACACCTCTTCTGTTGTTCTTTAACCACTCGGCACGGACCACAGCAGAAAGCACAACCTCTATATTGTATGACGTCACCGCGTACGCGAGAATGTGTTTAGCGTGCATTGAATAGCAACGGGCCGTACGCGGACGTCGGACTCCTGTATTGTTAGCCGCGTGTGTGTTGCGGGCGTTGCTTAGCAGTGGGTCTGTGTGTCTCATTGCTCCTTGCTTAAGGCTGCTCATCTCGGGTAGCTTAACGGTATGTCACCGTTCCTTCCTTTCCGAGGTCTCTGCTTGTGACGTCTCACGTTCCTTCAAATTGNTTAGAGATTTACACGTATAAAAACAAAACAAACTCCGTGATTTCAGTCCGCAAGCGAACTATACCGATCGAGCGACAGCCGCTTGTCGGCGAAGTTAGTGCCAACTTCTGCGGATAGAGGGTGTCGCGTGGTCAGCGCAACGAATCCCCACGACCGTTAATTTCGGTTTTCTAGACCGGAGCCGTTACTTCCATGAAATAGCTCCTCAATTATCCTCACGAGGCTGAGTGGATTCCGTTCTAGACCCACTACTTCTCTGAGAAAATCTGGTGGCGCCGGGAATCGAACCCGGATTTTTGGATCTGTAGATTTACACGTATATTGAAATTAATTGTCATCCATCCTGTCCAATTCAGTCCTTCCATCGCTCGCATTTCGTATGCAGCTTCATTTGCTGCGCCTAAAGCAGAGGTTCCAGTACCT